CATCAAATGTGATAAAAATCAACAATATCTCATGATTTCTTTGACATGCATGATCTTATGGACATTTCCCAGCATTCCTCACTCTCAGCCATGCATTCTTGAGTCCAGAGCAGTACCTATCAGTCTCCTGGCGCTCAGCAGACGTGATGGGCTGAGTCCTAAACCTCTCTGAGGTCTTTCTACTCTCCCCGGGATTGATATACTGCCGGGGCCTGCGCCCCCTGTCCCTTTCCCCTCTCCAAGGGGCCTCGTAGCCCGCAGGTGCCCTGTCCCCTTCAACCTCACTGCAGGGGCCACCCAAGGAGAGGGACCGACAGACAGAGTACCCAAAAGAAAGAGGAAATACAGTAAAGTGAGGGAGAGATAGAGAGGGACGGGAAGCAAAAATGGTTTCGGAGCAGAGGGATAAGTTCGATTATTCAGTCACACCCCTGGTTTTTAAATCAAGTATGTGAGCGAGGCCATGCAGGTTTAATAACAGTTAAAGCATGCACATGTTCACTGGCCGCAGGTAGTGACTGAACAAGCCACAGCGCCAAAAAAATCTAGAAAAAACTAACTGCAGGAGGCTTAGTGTTAGGTGATTAATGCATGAACGCCATTTCTACAGATTAGAAACTCTGCAATACAGTCATTGTGCTTTGATGTTAACTCCACACTCAGCTGCTTGTTAGTCATTCAGTAGCCAGCCGATGTTAGGTAACAAGCACCAGTATCAGCTCCTTAGCAGCCAGCGGTGCAGCGTTTCACTTTGCCACCTACAGCTCGTTCCTGCGCCTGGCTGGAGGGGTGGTGGTGCTCTCCATGTAGGAATGTCTGAGCTGGGCCACAGACACCCGGGAGTCTTGGTGACTCTCTCCATTGCTGAACGCTTCACCCTGCCTGAGCTCTCGAGGGTCGTGGGTCTGGTGCTGCAGGTTCCTTTGACTGGGCTCCATGGCGTCTGACACGGTGCGGCTCAAGGCGGTGCTGGAGGTGGAGCTTCCTGCGCCTGCATGTGCCGCTCTGGGCTGGATGTGAGTTGCGGGCACCCCTTTGGGGATGTAAAAGGGGTTTTCCCTCTCTCTGGACCTGCTCTCTGCTGCTTGCAGACGGGAGCTGTGCTCAGTTTCGTCCCACCTGGCTCTCCCTCTGTGTCTGTCTCTTCCAACATCCTCTGTCTCGGCCTCTCTTGGCTGCCTGAGGCTTTGCACCTTGGACATCCCCGTGTCCTCTTCCCCTCTTCCTCTCCGTGGGTCTTCAATGCTTCTCTCCCTACGGCGGATCTCCGAGGGCAGCACTGCCTTCCTACTCCTCAGGAGGCCCTCTGTCTTCACATCCTCCGTCTCCTCAGTCTCCTCCTCCTGGGCCTGATGCTGCTGCTGCTGCTGCCCGCCTCTGCAGGTGGGACCAGAGGCCATGGAGAGGTAGCTGGGGTAACCAACAAGTTCTTGTCCTCCAGCTTGCCCAGGTCGGGTGAGCTGAGCCTGGGTGTGATGGTGGGGGTGGGTCTGGGACTGGTGCTGAAATTGTCTGCGGTATACTGGGGCTTCTGTAACATTTCCCAGCTCTGGGCTCCTCTGGCGGCCCTCGTCCCTGGCCAGCCTCTCCCTAACTCTGATTCTTCAAGGAAACAAAGGGCTGGTTAACATTCGTACGACAAGAGCAGATACAGTGTGTTAAACTCATACAGATGATTTTTTTTAAAGGCAAACAAACACAGCACTCAACTCCTGCTCTGATCGAGATGAAACTTTGTGTCTACACCTTTCACGATGAAGGGGGGAGCAGGTTCTTTCTCCTGTCTGATACGAGGCCTGTGCATCAAACTTCAGTACCTTTTGAAAAATAACCGATATGTCTCCAAATACTGAAAGTTGTCAAAGTTGACGTAGAATTCTTGTTCAGATTTTTAGTCTCATTTGTTCAAACATTTCCTAAATCATAACTTTGATAAGTTTAAACTATTTGCCTCATTTTATTTGGGGAAACATTCGTGTGTTTGAGCTGCTAAAACATGAAATATTGACACACTAAGAAGTTTGTATTTTTGTAGATTGAGAAAAGAGAAAAATAAAATAAATAACCACTTTCCTAAGTCAAGGTACATGAAAGTAGCTGCATCTAATGATTTTATTAATTAATGATTTTGGACTCTGCCTTTTTTTCCACTGCCTTTATTTACAGGCTAAGCATTATATGAATATGACGTATTGATATTTTCAGAAAATGTTGGGCTACTTAGAAACACACTATCAATACGCATGTAAGTTGTACTAAACATGTTTATTGGGCAGTTTTATCCAATCTGAGTTTTCTGCTACAGATTTTCAACAAAGGGCACATATCTGTATATGAGCTCTTATTGTTATTCTTTTTCTTACTTCTGTTTGGGATAATCATGGGCTTAGTTTTCGAACAATTTCCACTGTGGGATACAAGCAGGAAGTATAATGCTGCCATGGAGACATTAGATTAGCTAAGGGCTACACATAAAGCCCCTTTATTTGGCCTGTATTTGTTTACATGGTAAATTTGCACCATTAAAAGTATGTATAATCAGCTATTAGTAATTCATAATTGTAATTTAACCATGGATGTACAGATCACTGGATTACTGTGAAACTGCAGAAAACTACATCTAAAGTTATAAGGAGCGTCTTTTTTTCTATGATTTCCAAGCACATGATTATCTGTGATGGACACTGCAGATATTCAAGTCATGATGAATCTAACAATAAACATCAGTTTTAGTATTGTTACCATAACTCTTATTGTATTTAAGAAGAAAAGAACTGAGAGGATTGTTCTTAATACAAACACAGGCCCCGAACCTATAGTCACTGATGTAAGGTCAGAATTACAGAAGTAATACTGCGGCATCACTAGCCAATGTTTTGTCCTTCATTAGTAACATGTTCCTTTTAACATTTGTTTTCACGTGGGTATTAAACTGAACACAGCAACATATGCATGGGGGATGAAGTTATTGTCCAAAGCAAAGGCAACAGGAGCTTGTGACAATGATGAGGATGATGAATGATGTCATGTCAGCCGACTCTCAAAGCTCAAAAGCAGAGTTTCTTAAACATCTGTGTGTCTTCTGATCAGCCCAGGACCCAAACTGAGCAAACGCAGTTTCACCCTGAAAGATTACTGATGTATGTTTTGAAGGCAAAAGTATTTGGTCCTGTCCTGATCCACAGTTTAAGAAGCACTGCTCATTGATGGGTTTTTGGTAAGTTTTGCCAAATGGGAACACGGCAGGTGGGGAGACACAACCAGCCTGGGTGTACCTCGATGGCCAGTTGATGAGGGAGTGGGTGTCGCCCTCAGCATCAGTCTGGAGGAACCAATCAGTGCTGAGCATCGCTCTCGCACTGTGCCAATGGAAACCCGGCAGGAGACATGAGAGTGAGTGATTGAGTGGGTGAGTAATAGTCTAGATTTCACGTTGAGCTCTGTTCTTGGAGCACACACAGGCACATTACTACATTACACACACCACTGACTTCACACTGAGCTCGACCAGAGGGAGAACGGGCTTGGTCATCAGCAGGATCCTACTCAGAATACAAGTTCAACTCCCTGGTGAGGCATTTCATTGTTATTATGGTTTTGGAACACGCATCACACAAAAAATATTATAAAATATGAACAATAACAGTCTTGTTAAAAGGAGCTATTTGTAAGTTTTGCTATTGCTACATAGCCAACGTTAGCCTTAACAGCTGTTCAGCATCAAACTTCATTAATTTACTCGCCAAGACCTGTCTCCAGTGGTGGAAATCAACCTTTCACTCTTCTTTCCTTCTACTGAAGTTAGCATGCTAACAAGCTATCCCCAGCCCAGTTGGCCCATCTCGCCATTTTCCGATACAGAGTCACTGGAGCGTCCAGTATGCCCTGAAGAAGTAGCGCTGATCCTCTTGTCTTGTAAACGCAACAATGGCTGAAGCTCTTGGTAAGACTGTGAAGTAAACAGCTGTTAATGCTAACGTTAGCTATGTAGCGATAGCAAAACTTGCATATAGCTAAATGAAGAGCAACTGCTACTAAAGCAGAATTTACATGTTTACTATGTTATCAATGCATCATCACTGTAGCTTTCTAACTAACTGAGCTCTTATCTACTGCAGCAGATTTTCAGAGGAAATGCCATCTCACTCCAACAAAGCCAGGAGGCAGATGAGTCATCCAGGCTCTCTGACGCTGAATAAAGATAAACAGCCTGAACTGTTTCATTAAGCTCCGTCAGAGTTCAACTCCAAGCATTTAGAAATCCAAAATCTTTTTACTGCTACCAAGGCCAAAGACAACGAGTTATATCTGAGGGGAAACAAACCACCTCCGAAATTATACCCAGTCTGATGCGGTCAGTCCTGATCACATGGTACATGATAACCATTACTGCAGGATCAGCATCCTGGAAACTGAATGGTTAAGGCACGTGACATATCGGACTCCAGCCTTGGACCTGGATGGCATGTTATATATCTGTCTCTCCCTTTGTTTCCTGTCTGATGCTGCCCTTAAAAATCTTTATAATTATGATAATGATGACAACAATAATAACAATATCATCATGTTGTTGCTTAAAGCATTTTGGATTAGGTCTAGTTATCCGAAGCTCAAAGTAAATCTACTTCGAGTTGGGTCTGGCTGTGCTCCGGTCCCCTATGGCTTGATTCTCTTGGTTATTCATGCGCATTGAGTCAAGGTAGATTTTCCATGAGTCCCTGTTGGATCAGGTCCAACCCGTAAAGACCTCTTCTGTGAACTCTCACTACAGCAAAGCCAGTTTACCAGTGCTACATATAATTAAGAAAATGTCACGGGGGAGAGCATTGGTTTTTTCCCCTTAAAAACACTTAATTCTGCAAAATTAAAATGATAAATCAGAGAGGGAAAGCTTTATTTTCTATTTAATGGGACAGATCATCTTGTTCTAGGAGTATATTTCTCATACTGTAAAGAATAAATAACCACAGATTATACACCACCAGGAGCAATGTAAAGAAGATGTTGCCACATTGACGATTGACAGAATCCTAAAAGACCAGTTTTAAGCAACATTAACTGTGCAAGGTGAAACACACAGTTTCCAGGTCCATAATGAACTTTAAAACTCAAGGTCATTAGATGCTTAAAAACAGGATGACCTTTGTTCACAGTATTTACTGCTCTAATATTTAACAGTTGATGTCAGAGATCTTGTCTGGGGGTTTTGAAGGGCCCACAGATACCCTGAGAAGAGGTAAAGAGGATGCTTCTAAGATCTCAGGCCTCACTGGTCTTGATCAGGCCCAGCTGTGGGCCAGAGATGTGATCTGTGGAGTCACACTGAGCCGCCCAGTAACACAACACCCTCTTTGCTCCACACACACACACTGGCCAAGTTTTAAAACCTTAAGGGACTGAGGAATGGAGAGAGGGTGGGGGTGATGAAGACAAGAGCAGAGACAGATAGTGAAATCATCTTCATCTGGTCTTCAGCAGCAGCAGCAGCAGCAGCACACTACAGGCCACAGCCTGGTCAAAACCTGGGCTGGGCCAGTGGGTTGCTACATTAGAATTAAGGAACATAAAGAGGTGCATGTGCTGATATAATCTGTGCTATCAGCTGAGCCAAAACACTCCTCAGTGCTTATCCTCTGCAGCGGCAATGAGTCTGCTTCAGACAAGCACTTAAGGATAAGAAACATTTGTGTCTGTTGAGGTCTTTAAAATCAGATCATAAGTTATTTGTGTAGTTCTGTCTGTTGGTTCAGCTCAGGTAACGTCACACAGACCAAAGGAAATGCTGTGATCTGGGAACAGGAGGACATCACCACCACAAAGTAGTGAAAAGTGGTAATTAATGGCCTGATGCACTGAGTGAACGCACATGCACTTTGTACTAAACTGGACGTCTACATACACTGATGTGAAGGTCTGCTCGTACAGTCCATTTGGTCAAAAATGTAGACATGGACTACAAGAAGATAAAAATTACGTGGGTAGGGGGAAGTATAATTTTGGCTTAATCTCTCGTGTGTGTGTGTGTGTGTGCCAGGGCCGAATTAACACACCAGGACGCCGTGGAGCAGGAATGAAGTGCAGGTCACTGAGTGACTCCTGACATGTTCAACCAATCCATTTTACCCTGAGCCCCAGTGACTGACCTGTGTTGCTATAAGCTGGAACATTACCCTGCTCCAGGTTTGTCTGTCAATCTGTGAATATGCAACGTGCAAAAATAACTTCCACTAAAGTGTTAAAGGTACTAAAACTAGATGTTAAGGCATTTATCGTTTCAGTTGTTATTGTGTTTTACTGGTGTATATTACCAAAAAGTAATCAAATTACCACGTGATAATTTCCACACAGATGATCTTGAGCCTTCAAAAAGCCATTAATGAGCGGGGGCCGTTGGGCAGTCGCCCAATTCTCCCTCTTTATAAATGCGACGTAGGTGCACACACACACACTTATGGCAAATGCAGTTCAGAAAGTCAAAGCTGAACCAGGAAGTCCGTCTATAAACTGTGATGGATGTGAACAGTCTGCGTATCATTTGAGTAATAATAACTGGATGAGTGCATGGATGTAATGAAATCTGTCTGTTCAGGGATCCACTTCCTGTCCTTCCTGTCAGTGTTGGTGAGCTGCTCAAATAGGAGCAATTTTCTTTAAGAATGTGGGATCGGCTGCAGAGCTGGTGGTTTACTCCATCCAGCAGACTTGGAAAAACGTCTTCCATAAGAAAATAGCAACAACTTGGCCAGTCAGAGTTACTTTGGGAATTTAAAAAAGCGCAGCAATTTGCTGTTCTCAACAGATCCACCTGAAACCTCTGGAACAGACACATAGCCCAAACACATTTTGTATTAATCTGCGAGTCCAGCTGTCGGCCTCAGTGGGAGGTGGTTCCAGAACAAGCTCAGGTGGCCTGACCTGGTATGAAACCACAGTCCTGCCAACAGGACGACCTTGGACACGTGTGGATGAGAAGAGGAAGAGAGACAGAGATGGAGGGAGGGAGAGGAGGGAGAGTCAGTCTGATGGATGACACTGTCACAGCCAATCCATCTATTAAAGAGGATGATACAGCAGTGTTCTGGCCCACATGGAAACCATGCTGAAAACCGTGTGTGGATGGGTTTGAAGGGAAGCTGTGATCTGGACCCTTGAAGGGAACAGTCTGATGAGATATCAAATACAGAACATTTTTACAGAAACAACAACTCTGTCTCTTAAATCTTAGATTACTGGGGAGAGCAACTTAGGAGGATAAATGAGAAGGAAGAGCAATTAAAGCTACTTACCCCTGTCTGCTGAGGATGTTGTGGGCCTGCTGTTCGATGAAGAGGTCTCCAGGAGACGCACCGTGTTTAGGTGAGGAGAGGGAAGGGTGCCTGCTCAGCTTGGGTGAACTGGGTGGCATCCCTGTGACTGGATAGTCCCTGGCCGGCCCCCTGCCAGCTGAGGACAGTGATGTCACATCCATGTATGAGGAGGAGGACGGCGGCTCTGGAGGAGCAGCCCTGCGTTGGTTCTCTAGGTTCATCAGCCTCTCCCTCTCTGAGAACGAGTCCACCCTGGTGCGGCCCATCTCGTAGCCCGGGTCGGCGTGGCCCTGGTGGTGTGCTGTGTGTCCGGACCTCGGGCTGGTGGCTGAGGTGCTGGTGTAAGAAGTCAGGTTGATGTCTCTCCCTTCTTCCCCCACAGACGCCTCTCTGTTTTGCCTCTCCGAGCCTTCCGACTCCCTCTGGGTGCGGGTGTAGCGAGAGGGATAGTCCAAGTCCGGCTCCTGATCTAAGGCGATACCGTAGCGCTCAGCCAGCTGCCGGCGCCGTTCTGCCTTGTAGCGGGCGATTCGTTCAGCCTTGGACTCCAGCTCTGGGCCACTGGTGGTGGAGCTTGAACTGTAGACTGGCTCTGTGTGGACTGAGGACTGAGGGTCAGGCCTACATCGAGCTCTGGACTGTCGCTCCGGAGCCTTCGGCTGCATTTCTGAGCTTTCGAATCCCTCAACGCCATACCGCTGGACTGTAACTAGAGGACAGAGAGTGAACACAAGTCAGTTCTGCCCACAGAAATGAACAAAAGAGACAAAAAATGACCCAGGTGTGCACATGTCTCACCACCACAGGGCTCACAGGGGTCAGAGGCCCTGGTGTATCTCGGTGTATCCTCCTCTAGAAGCCGATTGGCCACCAAGCTGGGCAGCAGAGAAGGATGCACCTCACCCTCTATGCCCTCCAACCGCCGAGCAATACGCTCCTTTCTACACACACATGAACAGGAAGGAAGAAGTTTCACGTATCATTATTTTCCTCAACATTTTCATTATAAAATGTTTTTTTTTTTTTTTTTTTACACGTATCATCACCTTCCTACCTGTTCATTTCCCAGTCACTTGCACTTGTTGTAATGCCTTCGAATCGTTTCCTCAGTTCAGACACTTAGGGAGGGATGAAAAACAAAACACTGTTACAGCTTGTAAAAAAGAAAACATCTGTTTTGGTGACATCTTGTGACAAGATGGCAAGCTCCCCTGATTTAGCATTACACTCTTAAACTTCATCAGATTCACAACGGACAGATTAAAAACGTGTCAAAAAGCAGAACCAGAAGTGCCGTCGTCCTTCTTCCTTCTGGAAACCTGCTGCCTAAAAATAAAAGTGATGCGTTTTATATTTCTTTCAGTGAACAATATGTTTCAACATCCAAAACCTTCGTGTATGTCACAGGAAATGGTGGCATATTGGAGGTGGGAAAAAAAACCCTACACGTCAGTGAAGCTGCACAAGACAACAGTCTTTTCGTCTGGGCTCACTGCCCAGAAAACCATGCCATGCAATGACCAGTTTTACTTTCGATTTTATCCATATTATCCATATTATTATCATATTGTCCTTTCTTACTGCACAAGTCATAACTTGTAAAAAAAAATAATAAAACGGCCATCAACAGCTCATGAAACCATGACGCAGCATTCACCATCCTGCGGGACTTGACAGACCCACAAGCCTCTACAGAACCATATCTCTTTTTATCCTACATTTTGTATTAAATGGACCCTGACGAGAAAATAGAGACCGCAGCGCTTCATATTGTTCAACATGTGAGAACTGTGCTTGCAGAAAAACTGGTTTTAGACAAATCTTGACATGAATCCACCTGGCAAAGAGCTGCTGTTGCACAACAGTTGACATTGTGAAGGCCGTTTGCAAGCAGGCAGAAAAAAAAAAAAAAAAAAAACCCTTACTCACCTTTGGGGAGATTGGCCAAGAGACTAACATCTATATCCTTGGTGCTTTTGGCTGGCTCGTCTTTTTCCTCAAAGGAGAATTCTTTCTGGAAGCTGAGGGGTGCAGGAAAAATACCAACTTGTTATTGAATCAGGGCTGAGCTGTGGGAAAGTGGATTTGTTTATAGGCCGACAGCAGAGGCAGTTGTTGTGGGGGGGGGCTCACTGAATTAATCTGAATCTGATCAAACAGTTATCCACATTATTAAAAAGCGTAGCTGGGCACAGGCACAGTTTGAATGATGTTCAAGAGTCTCGTCCATTGACCAGTGGATCATGGATGAAGAAACATAAACAAGAAATTAATCATCCAAACACTGCATCTGGATTTCAATCCGTGAAATTCATCCATTTGTATTTATCTAGAAATTAAGAGAAGGTTTTGACCCCATCACGCTATTCCGCCTCACACAGATACGCAGCAAATTTGTCTCTCAGAAACACACTGAAGTCATTTATGGATTAAACTCAAAACCGCACAGTTGCAAAACAGCTATAAAAGAACTGGCAGTAGATTATTGATATGAAGAAATACTGGGAAAACATGACTTTGTGGTTTTGTCCGTTCCAGCAACCACAGAGTTGTGAACACACTGGTACACAAAGGCAGAGTAGATCCTTTTCTATCATAAACAGCATCTGTTCTCACGAGTAAATATCTTCCAACATGTGATTCCAAAGCAGAGACACACCCACACAGTTTGGCACCAGCCTGGTGTCACAGTGCTGCGTGTCCTCGCTGCCGTAAAGACAAACTTTGTAAATGGAGGCATGGTGGAGCGTTTGACACCGAGCCAACATGATGCAGAGCAATCCTGCTAATGCTGCAGCAGAGAGGTTTCACACTGCTGAGGAGCACAGAGGGCTGATCTTTTACTTTATCACTGGCCCTGTCTGAAACACACAAGCTCCAGCTGATTCCCCGCTATCTATTTGTTGCTACAATCATACTGGTGCTGCTCTGAGGAAGTGTGTAACGGATATCTCCTTACTCTTTAGTTTTAGTCCAGGACCGGGATTAATCCCTCTCTAGAGATCAGTCTTAAAGTGAAACTTAAGTGCATCTTTCGAGGAAGACATCTTTTTTTTTTTTTTTTCTTTTTTACACATGAATTTTTAACATCAGTAATTGTCAAATTAAATCTGTAGTAATCTGTGATTAATTCATTTGTGATACCTGAGTATAATCACATCAACAGACAATAACTGATGCTTATCTCTTTCACTTTACTAAAGGGATTCGGGTTGATATGTTGAAGGCTTAGGCCAATATTCCATAACATCAAATATTGTGATATTTCCTGCTATACACCATACTTACATAATATTGAAAAATGTGTTGTGATTTTGTTATTTTTCAGGTTTGCACTGCTTTGCTCTCTGTACATTGTACCTTGGCATGTGACAAATAAAATGTTGAACTGCTGTTTAGTGGCAGCATCATCATAATCAGAAAAAAATACAACAATATAATCTTTTTTTCATCTTAAACATAAAATAAAGTAATATAATTTATGATAATGTCGTATATTGCAATATTTGGGGCTGGCTGTATCAGGAATTTAAATTTTGGATATCATCAACATGTTGCATTTTTTACACCTTCACTGTCTTTGCGTGATTCTCTGTGACTTCATAGAGCGCAGTGTGCTCCACTGCTTGTTGGTCAGAAGGCTTCGACATACTACCTTTGTCACACAGCTGTTTGTGTACAACTGTGTCCAACTTGTAAAAGCACTTTAAACAAATGTATGAAATCAACTACTTGGTAACAGCAGCAACAGAAGTGTTTTTATTAACTGTCCAAATAGAGCTGAGGATGTAAGTTACAAGGTCAAGTGAGCGCTTGTTCAGAGGACACACAGGGAGGAGTAAACTGCTACTTTGAGTCTGTCCGTGTGAACAGCCCGTTGTTCTCATCTCCTCTCCACCCGCCGTCAGCTTTCCCACCAAACCTGACTGGTCGTCACACGATGTATCAATCCAGAGAAAAACGTGACACCCTCCTTTCTTGTTTATGATCTCATTTGTTTGCGGTACTAACATTAACATCTGAAAATGAATGGTCCCATGTGTAGATTTGTTATGTTTGTAGCATCATTCCTATTTTAATTGTCTCTTATAAAAAAGGGGGGCCAGTTGCACAAAACACCTTAAGTTTCCTACTTAAGTATGACACTTAAGTAACGACTTCAGCTAAGGAGAAATTAAACTTTAAGGGTGTTGCACAGAGTCTCTTAAAAAAAGGTTTCGGAAAAGGAAAAAAAAGTTAAGTCATTTACGGCAATGAAAGATTTTACAGCAGTAAAATTCCACCGTTTCCATGGAGACTGTTGATTTGCTACTCTAGGCACTTGTGATACCTATTGTCACTTTTGGGAAGCAGGCAACATTAAAGACGCTCGGTGAACTTCAAGGTCTTTTGTGCAGCAGTTGAACTGACTGTAAGCGATTCCTGACAGATAAAAGCCTAAATACTTACGTGGACATTTTACGACAACCTTAAGGAGAACACTTAAGGGTGTTTTGTGCAACTGACGCCAGGTCTTTAACAAAGTTACCTGAGACAACAGAAAAGAAAACCTGATCAAATGTGTTAACGAGCAAAGTGTTTCAGCATACATTACCTCAAAGCTCTCTTCTGCAGCAGTCTGGGATTACTTAGTTTTATAGGGGTCTCACTCCCAAGTCCTGTGGGCAGAAGAAAAGAAAAGCATTTAGTCATGTCACCCTGTTCATTAATTGCATTGAGTTCTGCCTTTTAATGAACAGACAAACATTGAAACTAAACGTCTTCAGGTGAAGCAGCCGGCCTGTCTGCAGGTCCTTGGCACAGACCCACATTCATTAAGTGGACTTCCACGGGGGAAAACAAATGATGTGGAAAACAATAATCTGCCTGCCTGACTGAATCACATCTAACAACAAGCGATCTGTGTAGTTAAAAGGCTTGCACCCCTCCTACCTCCCCCCCACCCCCCCCCACCCCCCACACACACACACACACACAGCAACAGACACACAGACCATCACATCCAGAGACGCTGACTGTCTCCAATCGTAAGAACAAGTCTGTGTGCTGTGCATGAGCTCATATCTTGTTTGATAGAGGGGTGACGGCCTGTGTGTCGCTGCCTGAGACAGACGCTGTGAAGTCTGGTCACATGTCAAGGTTGCGGTGCATTGGAGTTGGGACGGTGCCAGGAGGAGCCGAGCACATCATTGTCGCTGGGCAGCATTCCTACAGCCACCGTGAATACAGATAGAGGACAGCACGAGGACACAGAGAAACCACACTCTTCACTTCCTAAAAGCTCACAAACACACTGTTATGAAGCTATGTGCTAAAACTCAATTAGACACACAAGCCTTAACACTTTAACCAAACAAAATCTGGTATCTATTAGGAAAACGGCCAGAGTCAGTAAACAAGAGCGAAACGTGACATAAACACCTGCCTACAGAGAAATACGGCCTCATTACCAAGAAGAAGGGCATTAGTGGGTATTAAGCATCATGAACAGTCTTGCGAGGAATTCGAGCTCTGCGGAGCTTCCCCGTGGAGGAATGTCGACGCCCGCTTCACTCACTGACTCCAAAACCTCAAACGTGTGGTTTTGGCCGCCCCCGGACCTCCGAGCGGTCAGAGCCGTGCAACTTCAGGACAAACACATGTGGTCCCACTTCCATCCCCTCCGAGTTCACCTCAGGGCCACGTGACGCCCTCCCGACTCCCCCCACTGCTCCACCCAAACCCCTAACCTCTCCCTGGAGGCCGCCCCCCCCATAACCCCCACCCCCAAGATCTGTTAGTCCTTATTAAGGATGTTTGGGTTGATGCTTTAAATCCCTCCTACTAAAGCAAAACATGATTTGAGAAGAAAGAAGGCTTATTTGGAGAGGGCAGCGTGCCTGGATGTCGTATATTGTTTCAGCTGGGTGGAATACGGCTGGTGAAAACACGACTCATTCCTTGCGGGCCTTGAATCATGATCCTGGTCGTCTGAACCGATTGTGTTCTCTTTTGACAGTGATTCAAAAAATTAGGTTGACACCATTCTAGTAGATATTTCAAAGCACAGGAACCACAGATTGACAAATCCTGATCTTTTCCAACTGAGATGATCCTACTACTATAATTATAGAGCGGTTTGTGTGTCTGTCTGTCTGTGTAGCTGCTCCATCTAGGAAGCAGCTCCGGGCGCAAGATTTTGAAGGAACCCATTTCTTAACGAGGCTGTTCAAACGACACCTAGTTTGTCCGGTTCAGTCGTTCCCAGTTCCGGTAATGTGTGGTATACGGTGATGTGGTGAAGAGGCTGGGGGTTCACTCGAAGAGAAGAAAGTGAAGTCAATGCAGGTCCCTTAAATCTGCATTATTTCTACTGACCAGCAGGGGGCGACGCCACTGACTGCAAAGAGAAGTCCGATATATAATGGAAGAGGTATAGAAGAATATGGGAAAATGACCCCATTTCCCACTTGATTTATTACCTCAGAAAACATTTTCGTAATGGGTTTATGGTCTCAATAGCTAGTAACATATTAGCCAACAATCAAAAATTGAAAAAAATCTCACTTTTTGAGGTCTCATTTTTCTAAAAATCAAAAATGAAATTAGCAAATTTTTCCATTAACACCTACTGGATATGTGTCTGCAACTAAAGAACTGGTCTTGACTGAGCGAACAGAATTTGCTCAGCACATTTGCCCTATGAAAAACCAGCTTCCTTTCTTATTCATTTTATTGGCACAGTCACTTTGTCTTAGCTCGGAGTCATATTGTTGTTTTGAGGATAAGTTATTCAGAAATTCCTTAAATTTAGTTATAAATGTGAAAGTTTTTAATTTAAAAAAAGAAAGGTTTGCAATTTGAAGTTCAAACATGATGATTATTAGGTAAAATCTGAATTTATAAGGATCTTATAGAACTCTTATTTCTAATGGAGTATTATCCTCGGTTAAGATCTCAGATACTTTCACTGTAAAGAGTAAGTTCTGCTGAATCCAGTGATTTGTGCATGACCCATGTGACTTCTGGGATTTATGACTTTGGGGGCTGCAAATGTTGACGGAAACATCAACCTGGTTCAAGGGCAGAGAAAGATCAAAACCAGACCAGGCAAGAGAAGTTCTGGTGTTCGTCAACCTGATTCCCATATTATTGGCCCTTTTATTTATTAATCATCAGTCATCAAAACATTTTACTCACCCACACTGTCGTTAAGATTTTGGAAAATTGGAAAAGTGAAGTGCAAAGCTGGTTTACCTGCCACACTCATGTGAGTACAGTCTTTGTTTCTGTTACCATTAGGCTGTGGTTCTTCATTGATTTGGCTTATGTGCATGCTAGAGGAGTAGTAGCAAATGAAACAAGGTGGTTAATGTGCAAGTTTCCAAGGTGCAGTTGTCAGTGAATGTCACTATATTATAAATGAAGATTCCAGTTATGGCTAATCGTACTACAGTTGCTTTGCAGTTTGCTGCAACAGCTACAGGAGTGAACCAGTTTCTGTGTATTTGGGTCAGACAGGTATTTTGAGGTTGTTTCTGTTGAGCTGAGGTGTTCTGGAAAGCTTGCAGGCTCCTGGCCCCAATCAACATGTCTTTATAGTGTTTCCCCAAATCTCTATAAAGTTTGTAGTGAGTAAAATGTTACGATGACCATTAGTCACAGGGCCAAACAAACATGTTCCTTTACATCTGGAGAATATTAATTGTAGGCCGAGGCATCTCTGTGTTTATGTTGTGATACATTTTACCTTCATAATAAAAAAACTCAATTGCAGCTCCTGCGATATTTATTAGATTAATTGTGCAGCACTAGTCATAAAGAATCAAAAATATGAGAACACAGAAGTTGACATATACCAGAATTTACCTTTAAGTAAGAGTGTGAAACAAAACCAGATGCCAATGTAAAGGTTAATTAGCTGCTAGCTTGAAGTAATAAAAGCATCTGTCCCGCGGGGCAGCTGTGGCTATTGTCAGGTCCAACATATTGACTTCTCAACAAACCCAGACCTGTACACTTTTTACACCTCATACAGCCTATATGTAATGGCATGTGAGCCATCACCGCCCCCTCCCCTTCCAGACACCGACAAAAACCTCCACAATGATCACAGATGTGACAGAGCCTTTGATGCTGGCTGTAATCTACAGAAACACTATGGCTGCTATAGCCGAGAGGGAATGCGCCAGGAATTCCTCCGCACCGTGCCCCGTGTGTGTTGATGAGGCTGTAAAAGCGGCTTGACGCTGATGAAACATAGGGATGAAATGATTTCATGACTCAGTGGAGTGTCATTCAGGCTCTGAAGTGAGCAAAGCCTTTTATGTGAAGGTATCAAAGGTGTGGAGCACAAAGAGTGTAAAACACCGTCTGTCCACAGAGAAACTAACCTGTCTTTGGGAATGCTCCGCTCTGATAGACGCGACTTTAACCTGAGGCTGAGGTCAAACCGCACCGCTTTAACAAGCTACAAATAAAGAGGGGCTCATTCACAAGAAACCTGGAGTAGGTGCTAGGCCTCAATCAATCAACAACAGCATGATTACATCATGTCTTAACATATGAAAACACCCGGTGTGGGACCAAAGAGGCATCAGGGACTGAGCGTATGTCCAAATTGGGATACAGGATTAACTTCGATTCCTGGGATTACAGCGCGCCCAAAAGGAAGCGTGTCACTCTTTAACTGTCTGCATTACATCACACTCCATGTGTATGCGTGCATGTGGAAGTCTTAACCCTTAACCCCCCCAACGCCCCACCCCCCACCCCCCAGTCTCCCAGTTCCTCTGCCTTCACCCTGCCTGCTGGGAGACTGGAGTTGAGAGAGGCTTAAGAAGCAAAGCATTAACAAAAAAAAAAACAGATGGAGAATCAGAAATGAGGAGAGACCCAGACTAGAAACAGTGGACTTAACAAAAGGATGTGACAATAAGCCAATTATGTCTTTAAAACTAATAACAATGAGTATACAAGCAGCTCAGCCTCAGATTCAATTGTGGGGAGGAAACAGAGAACAGCTACACTGTCACATCCACCCCCCTCAAACAAGCTTCAATACACACACACACACACACACACACACACACACACAAACACACAAACCCAACACTACACACCACACGACACCACACACACCACAACACACACACACACACACACACACACACACACACACACACACACACCACACCACACACACACACACACACACACACACACTCTCCCTCAAACCAGACTTCATGCTCGCATAAAAGCCTGAAACCGTGGGCCACCTGTTGTGGATTCCCAGCCAGTTAAGCATGGAGAAGCCAGTTCTCAACACTCAGCTCTCACTCAGAGAGCATTACGGAGAAGGGGGGGAATGAGAGGCACTCGCAGAGAAGCAGACATGGACCTGGTGCATAATCATCTATTTCAAAAGGTTGCGCACACTACGGCTGGATAATGTCATCTATAAAGTGACAATTAATGTAACCATTAATATGTTTTTATTACATTCGCACACAATATTTCCTGTCTCGCGCTGACTCACTTTGGTCCGACAGACTCGCTCACACCAGGAGATGACACAGCAGAATGAGTCCGTGCATCTCTGCATACGTGATTCTTGAAGCTTGATGACGTAATGACGACTCAAAGGGCTAGTTGGTGAAATAATGTTGCTAGCGGTCTAATGCTAGCACCCACAATAGTCCTCCAAGCTTTTTTCTATTTTTCCTGCTGTTAACTCAGTAGAGTTCGAACTAGCTATTTAAGACTAAATCCTTTCTGACAGAGGATTAAAAAAAATTAACAGAGATGGTGCTAACTGTCATTCAGTCATTTTAAACTCATTAGCTTTGTGGCTAACAGGACAGAGCGGATGAGCAGTAATTCAAAAGTCCTGTTTGTACCATCTCATGCTCCCACATAGGGAGGGTTAAAAAACATTGATTAACTTTCTACGCTTGGACTCTCCGGCTTTCAGTTCCCTAGAAAATGCACTGTCAAGACAGATTACTATTGGTCAATGCTGCAGATTTTTGCTGATTTTCTTGAACCCATAATTTTTTTTTTTTTTGGTGAAGCAAAACAAAGATAAAAAAGTGACATAACATAATGGCATACAATCCTACAGTGGGACAAGAACTGACAGCTTTTGTTATCTTTATAGATTCATATTTTGACATAAGCATGAATCTGATGATCATGTCAATTACATTTAGATTGATGGATTTCAATTAATTGCCAATTGTAGCTAGTTATATGACTGGATATTTATTATGATTAAAAACTGTGATGAGAGTAAATTGAGGTCACCAAGAGATTCTTAATGTTGGTAATCAAATGAATTTGTGTTTTTAAGCCACAAATTCACATCAATTAATGTAGACATACATCAACACATGCAACTACACTTCTGAGTACAAATAGCTGTGGAGCACAGAAATAGCTGCAACAGCCCCCTGCACCGCTAAGAGTCCCTTATCTGTGCTACGTAGTGTCCTTGGAGGCTACAGCTGCAGTGCGAGGACAGCTGGCTAGAAAGCAGGACAGCGAGCAGAGAGGAAGGGAGTCTGCAGTTTGTCGCCTGCCAACTTCCAAGAGCTCAGATTCCCAGATCCACAACCAGAGTAACCTGTCCCCAAGCTTCCAGCCTGAGCTTCAAATCTCAGCTCTGCCCCTGAGCCAAACAGCCCCGAGTCGTTTCCTTACCTTGGCTGCAAAACTTGACATGAGTCAGGTAATTCGAGATCCAAGGGTTCCGGTACATTTTGGCAACAAAGTCAGGGGAGAGGGTAAGACAGAGAGGAGAAGTGAAGGAGATGGAAAGGAAGGGTAGAAAGAGGGGCAGCTGCCTAAAAGATGATGCAGCTACAAAAACAGTCTGTCAGGGCTCCGGGACAGACAGAGAGAGAGAGGAGGGAGTCAGGTAGTGTTAGAGAGAGGCAGAGGAGGGAGGGAGGGAGGGGAGAGAGCAAGAGAGAGACGTCCCAGCCGCAGTGCCGGTACGAGCAGAGGTGGTCCTGGTAGGTAAACAGAGGAGTGGTGGAGCTGTGGCTGCAGCTCTGCCTCTTCTCAGATCCACTCCTCTGCTCTGGTTCCTCTCGCTAACCACTGACGGCTAACCAGTGCCCACTACAACAATAACAACCTGGAGGGCTGAAAGCTGCTCAGCACGGGCTAAGCTCATTAGCCAAAGCAAGCAAATTAGGCCCCATCCCTACTACAGAGTGTCCTGCATGCTACAGAATGAGCCTCACAGGCGCAGAGGAAGAAGAGACAGATAGTTAGGAGTGTCCCAGGAGAGTGCTGCCTTTCCCTTGGCTCACACACTCGAGTGGGATGCCAAAGAAACCGGTGCAGAGCGTCAGAGGAGAAGGGGGGGTCGGGGGGTGGGGGGTAATGAAGTGAGCAGGGGAAGAGGAGAAAGTTAAAATCACCCTCTCAGCCAGATGAGAAATTCCAGTCATCTCTCAGCAGGGACAAAATAAAAGGATCAGCATGCAGAGAGAGAAAGAGGGAAGAGGGAGGGGCAGAGAGAGAAGGTAAGAGAGATTCAGTCAAACAGAGTCAGGAAGAGAAAGACACAGGGAGCCACACTGAGGTTCATTCATGTTCATTTGTGTTAGCATTTTGCTGAGAATCAAAATGCTAACACTTTGGTTCTTTCTCGAGCAGCTGAAAAAAAGATGCAATCTCTCATTCCTCCTATTAACACACTCGTCAGTGTGTTCCACACAGACCGATGTTCCCTGTGAGTCATGGTGTGCATAAAACCATTTCCTAGTGTGATAATGAAAGCGCTTGCACACACATTATACACACACACCTCATCTATACATCAATGTGAAGATGACGTGCTTATCATTGTACTGAGAGGGCACTGCAGGGAGGCTGGCGCAGAGCCCGACTCCACTTTTCAGGCGCTGCTGGGAAAACAGCGAGCGGTATCTTATCTCTCTGTTGCACACAGAGCAAAAACTGTCACCGGCAAACACGCAGGCGTCAACGTAAAGCAGATTCATGGATGGAAGCGCTCGCAAATGTTAGCCAAGGCAAGAGAAGCGATCAGAAAAAGCCTGCTGCCTTTTCCAGAATACACGCATCTCAGCGGAGTTCTTCTAAACGTATTCTAAATCTAAGCCAGGTTGTTGGAGCACTTCAAAAGCACCAACGCAGAACAGTACAGGTTTTAATCACATCGTAACGTTTGTCAAATCACATAAATCTGTCGGGCCTCGCCGTCAAAGGTCTGCACAGGTGTGTCAAGATGCGGCCGACTGAGAGACTGGGGTTGTGTGAACTTCAGAGGTGGCATGTTTGGATCCTTTTCTGAGATGATCTCATCTGGCTGAGCACACACACGCATGCACGCACACACAAACACACATCATAAACTTCAAAATTCACACTGGGGGTGAGGAGACGGGAAGAGCACTACCTGCACCCAACATTTAACTCAGCACTCGCCTCAAGGGTCTAACCGACCGCTGCCAGACGGACGAGTGATGAATCACAAAGTAAAGTATTAAATGATGATTATTTGATCGTCTACAGTGGTGAATGCAAAAGTCGAGAAGTTTAAATGTAACTTTTTTTTGAAAGGTGGATTTTACCTCAAGAAATAAATGAGCTAAAGAAGCCCATAGAGTGCCTTCAACTAACACTTCAGCTCCTTAAAAATTAACTGCAACTTCAGATGCTTTCCTCTCCCTCTCCTACAACCTACCTACAGGACACCTCTGCACCTACCACCATCTACCATCTGGCAGTCTGACTTGTACTATATGTAATGTTTTGCTTCTCTAGCTCATCTGCTACAGGGATGACATCAGACCTTCAAAACCATCTACCCTGTTATTAGTAATGATGAGACCTCACTGCCAAAAAAAAAGGGCAAGACCGTACAGGTCGCTGCAATGACGCAACGCTCCTCTCGTTCTCTAATCTTTGTGGTGGATTGTGGGCTTTATTGCGACAGTATTATAGGCCCGTCAGAGAGGAAGCATGCATATAAACAAACAAAGCATGTACAGAAGCAAAAGTATGCACTTAAAGGAAATGGCATTTATTTGGTTATCAGCCCTGTGCTTACATATTAAAGTGATAATTAGCAACTATTCTGCAGCAGATGTAACGAATGAGAGCATCGCGGCCAAATGGGAGTCAAATGGGAAACCACACTTCAAACATGCTGAGGGAAACCAGCTGAGTGTTTACTCTAATAGAGTCCTGCGAATGATTATGCAAAATCTTAAAGAGAGAGAGAGTTTACAGCTAATTTGGCTATGAAGAACACTTCTCTTTTTAACAGTTTATAATCCTTTATTTTCTGCAAATGCTTACGGAAATGTTTAGATTACTTTACCTAAATGTGAAAAAAAGGCAGTGGCAGTATTAAAAGAAGCTGAGGTGTTAGCTGAAGTGTAAAAGCTGAAAACAGCTGAGGTGTTAATCGCTGAAAGCATTAGAAATCAATGGAAGGATAAAAGCTAAAAACAGCTGAAATCAGTTGAGGTCGAATTGTTGGACACAGCTGAAAATTTCATTTCAAACCCTGTTGGCAGATTTGTCAGTTTGTATGTTTGGACTTAAAGTAGATTCATTAGCAGTTGAGGGGATAAAGCAGTTGAACTTTCGGCTGCAGTGTGAGAGGAAAGTGACCGACTGATGTATTAATTGACGTGTACGCACTGAAAGTAAAGTGTGACATCATGTCAGTGATCACACCAGTTAATAAAATGTTAATTATAATGGCCATGTCATTGTCAGGCTGATATATTGGTAAGCTGACATGTAAAAAGCCACTTGAGGATCTTGAAATTTAACAGCACCGAGAGCGGGGCAGATTGTTTAACATCATAATAACAGAGCCACACCTCTCCACTAATCATCCCCCCAGATGTTCAGTCAGCTACACAATCAGAGTGGGTGCTATTTCAGCCTGGACAAGCTCACATGTGCAGCCAGTCAGTGGGTCATTATTAGATAAACACTTCCAGACAGTCCATGTTTGCACTTAAAATGACCTCCAGCGCACAGAGGCATCCCGACATGTCTGCTAGGAGAAGAGTCCTTAATGGCCGCATCACCTTCACGGTCGGAAAATCTTTGAGAAGAGAGGAAACACTGAGAAAGAGGAAGAGAAATACGTATTAACAAGGCTCGTCTCCTGCTCTGGGCTCTTTCACAGCCCTCTTAGAAATAAAAGTCCAGATTTATGGCGTCCCCTAGGAAAGATATCCGTCTTGTCTGGCGAGAGAGCGGCGCAGGGATCCAGTGCGCGCGGCGAAGCCGTCTCTGCAGACACATAACAGAGCCTGAGCCTCTGCAGCATGGCCATAAATTAGGACTGGGGGGGTAGAGAATGAAAGGTAAAGATATTCATATGCACACACAAAGGGAGGTAGAGGGAGGAAGACTGAGGTTAAAACTCCATTTGCAATGTTGTTTGATGTCCTTTACAAGGCATGATGGGATTTCAGTATGAAGCAAACAGATTCTTCTATGTGCCCTTTGACCTTCAAAGAGTATGTTAAGAAACTAAATGCTCTTTGCAAACAAGTCAGTGAATCGAATATGGAGTTGATGTTTTGAACTTGAGCGTTGGTATTTAATCTGGATACTGAATTTGAATCGGTATCGAATCGCTCACACGGATCCTGTTCCAGTTCCAGCAGAGCTGTTCCACTTTGTTTGTAAACACACAGATGGATAACTGCAGGATTGTATGATACCAGAAGTATAATTTTAGAATAAACGACAAAAACATGCAAGCACAGGAGTGAGGAGATTGTCCGAATACGTCAGAAAGTGAAAAATATTAAAAACAGTTGTTCTTATGCTACTCTGTTTCCTGGTAGTTCCCCATTACAAAGAGAGGGACAGAGCATCCTGACAGCTAACTAGTTCAGGGATATACCACATAACCGCAGTGTTCCCAGTTTGTGTTTGTTCAGGAACCTCTGTTACATGATGCAGCTCTGTGTCTGTTATCAAATTAAAGCAAAAATGCCCAAAAAAGATTTGACATCTTATAAAAAATAGAGAGAAGCTGATACAAGATGAAAGCAACTGAACCGTCATTTAACCAGTAAGTGATGACAGTAATACAAACCAGTGTTCCATTTTGAAATCTGCTCAGGCTAATTTGTCTTTTCATAAATGTAAAGTGTTAACAGAGTTAGCTAGCTCGCTTAAATACCATTGTGCATCTATAGCTTTAGTGGCCCCATGACCCCTGCAGGGCCTCTGAGGTCAGATATGACAGGCCTCAAACTTCCAGAGACACTCTGGGACAAGATCTTCAAACCTCATTATCAACTTCTTTTTAACTGCCTCAAGTCTTTGAAACTTTACAGTCGCACCGAAAATAGACAAGAATGACCTTCTCCGGCCATTGCATAGTGTATTAACACACAGATACACAGCTCGGCATGGTTTTCCAAAATAAAACAGATAAGAGGTGTTAAGTAGGGGACTCGGAGACTCCAAGTGCACTGCTCCAAGAGGTCCAGCGCTGTGTGTGCCTCTCAGCCTATCACAGAGCTTAAATCTGGCCCTGGGCATCAGATACGCCTCAGTTACGTCAACGTTCTCGCGTTCAATGACTTGCAGGACTGGGGTGGCTCTGAAAATTTGAATGAAATTAATTTTCCACAAAGCCTTTTGGAAACCCCCAATGAAAGGATGTGGAGTTGTGGCTTTCATCTCTTGGTGGATGATAAATTGACAAATCGTTTCAACATCGTTTTTTCTTTGCATTCTGATCTACCGAAGC